AGGATATTCACTTTCACATCGGAAACCACCCCCAAAGTTTGAAGTTGAAGCATTATTTCGACTATAGTTATGCTGTACACAGACACAAAAAAAACACACACMCACATCATTGTAAAATCAATACATTCATCACTTCGTTCAGAATCTAAAATAATGAATACAATTATTTATGATTTAAAAAAATAGATTTACAAATTATAAATATTTGGTACTCTCGTTGCAACTAGACATAATAATGTTTTTTACTTTGTAAAAAGTGGCTCGTTCCAAAAAAACTTAATATTCGCGTCAATAAACATAATAATCATATTGTTGTTGTTGCATAATATTATTTTATAATAATGTTATTACATAATAATAATACTTAATAGTAAATAATATTATTTTTATTTGAAATTTTATTTTTCGCAATGAATTATTTTGAATCAAAACAGAAGAAAAATACATCGTTTGTTGAAGCCAACGCTGCTTGTGTTTYATTAAAACATATTATTTGAGACTATCAAAACCCACATCAACATAATATATTTAGAAATTTTAGTGAATTAAAACCTGCCCATCACCTGGACAATTAGTCTTAAGTAGGTGTTTTCACGTGTGAAAATACAATATGTACATTATTTAATGTTAGTGACACGTGAATTTATTTTTAATTTCAAGTCATCTGACTGTAAAATTCTCCACTACCTCCCGCCACCGCTCCCCATTTTAATGTCAACACACTCATACCTGTGGTGTTTGCGAAGTTTGTCGTGATGATCGTGTCGGCCATCCGGCAAGTCGATTCCGCCCTCGGACAGCGTGCGGGCAGTGGCGTGCGCAGGCCGTGGCGATAACGGTGGCTGGTACGGCGAAGGGCTGTTGGCCGGCGATGGTGGCAGACCCGCTCCGGGTTGCGGGGACACCATACCCGGTTGGATACCGAGCATGCAGTAAGGGTCGCTGAATCCTGTAGACGTGACACGGAAACAATTAACGACAGTTCATCATAATAAAAATTACATAAATAACAATATTAATAATATTATGTACCTATATTATTATTTAATACTCTCATACTGTAGTCGGTATATTATGGTATTCTATGTAGTCATTAAAATAACTGCAGAAATATGGCGCGCGTATTGTGATTTGTGTTACGTAAAGCGAAACTTTGATATAGTATTATATAATGTCTCATGTTTTGGCAAATGATTGTTATATGGTATTTTTTTTAAATCATTTTTTGTTCATTTGAATAATTTGAAATGATCACAAATTACTATTAACGAACATATTCCTTATCAAAATCGTACGTTCTCGTGTTAAGGGTTATCGAAAATAGGTGGCAAAGGTATATTATAAAAAATTTAAGTATTTCTCGGCCAGTACGATGTAATCCTAACGTGTTTTTTGTAAATGATTTAAAATATTTGGCACACTTCACAAATACGGCAAAAGTACCAGTTGTTAGCCACTCGTATATACAATACGTATATCATAAACACTCATTAATATATTATACGGATATAGTGACAGTGGTAGTGGCAGAGATTTTTTATAATTGTGAGCTGAGGGTCGTCCTTTGTGGAGAAATAAGGTTTCAATAGGCGAATATTTTTATTGTTAATATTATTATGATATTATTAAAATAATATAAGTTAAGAGTTCCATCAAACGACGAGATGGCCTCTTCAATGCGATTCCCCGTCGCACTTAGCTTACTATTGTTGTGAATTTAATACAGATTGTGTGATATAATGAATAAATGTTAAATAATAAATAAATAATAAAAGTCTGCGTGCGAGCTCTAATAATACAAATACGAATAATAACAAGTGTGTGCGCGTGTATTTTCGAGCATAAATTGTGTTCTCAAGTATTTTAGGGATGCATAGGTATGATAATGTTATGTACGTTCGGAGAATTAAAAAAAAATCCAATTCCAATGATAGAGTGTATATTCAGACAATTATCTAAAATATCGTTCATTGGTTATGATTGTCCGAACGAGAACGCGTATCGAGTATAGTAGTTGTTAAGTATTATATATTATATATATTGAAAAAAAATTATAACTTTTGTTTTGACGTCTGGAATTCAACGGTAAAATTAATTAATAATGTTATGCTTTGTGCACGTCCTTTGCATTCGTGGCATACGTGTGTCCTCAGTGTGATTAAAGACTTAATAAATTATATTATATGGGTCACCGCGCATTGCCAACGAGCTTAACTGCGTTAATCGCTCGGGAGAATKTCGGAAAAATAAGAAAGCAAACATTGTTGCAGTGTCAATAATTTATATCCGTTTTGTGTAAACAGTGGATTTTTCTCGCTTGTTAACATCGAATACATGCTGTAAGAATAAACAGTTAAAGTTATCTAATATTAGACTATCTGCTCAAAATTCAAGCGTTGGACTTTTTTCATACCTGCCATATAAGTTATAATGTTATGAACATATTTTAATGTCTGATTATAATATTATTACTATAGTCTTTTAATAAATGTTATATGTTTAGAATTATTATTTCGAAAATATTCATGAATTTACTAATTAATGTTTTAAAATCGTATCCAAGGTCTTCCAGGTAAAGAAGYTTTTTTGCCGGGATTTTCTTTGGTTTTAAGTATTGCAATTTTTAATAAAAAAAAAAGGTACTTCATACAATACAGTTTCATTCATCCTACTGTTAAATATTTAATAAATAATTAGAAAAAATTCTGATTTATATTTGTATTCGCTTAATTGTAACAAATAAAGTATCTACAGTATAATTAATTAGACTGTAAGTCTTGAAAGCGTTTTGGAAATTAAATATTTTTATTAAAAATTTACCTAGTTTTTTAGTTTTAAATTCATTAACAGGTATAAAAACAGTAGTAGAAGAAGCTGCTATTTTCTATAAACGATCTTATAATAAATTAKGAAACCATGAAAATCMTCTAATAAAACGTTTACATATTCCGTCATTTCCTGGAAATCCCCGTCACAGGCTGAAAAGTAAATAGTGTAGAGATTATCTAACTTAATCCTAATAAGTTGTAAAAATCACATGATAAATGAACTAAGTACTACAGATGGGTGGCTAGTTATTCACGTAACCCCATTATGTTTTGTTACCCTTATCTTACATATTATCATATTATATACATAGATTGTATATTTCTTGTAAAAAAAAGTTTCATTAAATGTATTTTATTTGTTTTATTATTAGAAACTAAGTTTTTATACATACAACTTTTATTTATCACCACTATTCGTGACCATACGATGTGAAAAATAAGAGCTCAAGTTGCCTCAGATTATTTAGGATAATTTATACTTTATACACTTTGATTTACGTCAGGAAAAAAGGCCTCGGGGTAGTTTCATTGCAAATTAATGAATAATTTTGAAGATATTTAAAACAAAACAAAAAAGGGTAAGTAAATAACTTAGAACAGACCAACTTTTTGTTATTACTTTAAGCTTGGTATTTGACTAACCGTATTATGATAGTAGTTCATGYAAGCATATTTTGGAATGAATAACTTATCGATTATGGTTAGTTGAGTTACATGGGAATATCTCCTAATACCGGATAAATCCACTTGCCCTGACCTACCCATCGTGTTGATGAATTCYTTTTTCGATTTTAGTGTATTGCATGCACTGAAACAGCAGTATTAGTACCAGGGTGCATGTGTGTGCGCGCGCTTGTGCGCATATATATGTGTGCGTGCTTATAGCCTATTTACCAATGCAAAATTTCTAGTTTCGAATCCTGATAATTATTTGGGGTATCCATACTAGCTGTATATAATCTAAAGGATAATTCACCAGACATGTTTACCCCCCTCTTCTATATTTTAACTTTTATAAAACATTTATTCAAATTCAGTTTAAGAGTATCTTGTGGTGATCCAAACATCTTTCATTCAAATTATATATATTTAAAATATATATTTTTTTTTTTGTAAATTGTTAAGGAGATGATTTATTTTTAAAATTCAACAAAGTCATATAAAGTTTTATGACCTACCAACTAATTGTTCAAAT